GAAGATTGGATAAGAAAGCTTTGGTTCATCTACTCCATGGAATACCACTCAGCTATTAAAAAAAACAAACTGCAGTTCTTTGTGGCTAAATGGGCCCAACTGGAAACTATAATGCTAAGGGAAATGAGCGAATCCCAAAAGGTTAGATACCACATGTTTGCCTTAATTTAACCTGTATTTTTTTGATCCTGTCATTGATACTGTCTCAACACATGTGTTTCAAAAAAATTGAACTTGCATTATTTTTAACATATTGTTTATTCAATACTATGTCAATCAATTCCATAACACTATATACTGTTGATGATGTTTTGTTGAGGCTTTTTACTGACCGGGATTTTACTCTGTTAGCTTTGCCTTCAGACCAGGGAAGGCCTCCCCAAGAAGCCTCTGAAGTTATCAGGACAATAAGATGCTGGACTCAATGCTGGGTGTGTGCTTGCAATGAAGGAATCTCAGCTGACCTTGAACTGTGGTTATGCACCATGGGAGAAGGTGCATAACCCTGATATTAATAGCTGCATGCAAATTGCTAGAAGAAATAAAATTCCATATAAATACTCCCCTTATTAAAAAAAGAATATACACAATTCAGTAATTATTAAGTTCTAGTTCAAGTATTTGTTATACTTTAATAAACATTATATTCTGTATGAAATTAAACTATATCATTCCTAGTTATACACTTAGAGTGTGACATAGACTGTGCCCTTGTATTACGTTCAAGATCTGGTCAATCCTTTACTTGATATTTTCTTCCAGTCTGCAGGGTTTCATGTTCATATCTTTAAGCACACTATTTTTCACAAACAAGACTCTCACAGTACTAGTAAAGATGAGGAATGTTTTGTAAGTTCTGCTTATCCAGTCTGATTATTTAGATTGTGTTTAAATTTTTGACTACGGAAGTATTTGAAAGTGGCAAGAATTAATCTGAAGAAGAAACAAACTATTTTATAATTTAGAAATTAGATACAGTGTGATTGTTATGATTCAATGCCAAGAGTGTCATGTGAACACACTTACCCAGTTATGTCTGTGTGATTTGTTTTATTTGAAAGTATTTCTATAATAAAACAGTGGAAGAAGCTACTTCAACTACCATTACATATTTATGTTTATTTGTATACATTTATGTGTCTACCCATAGCATTGCAATGATCTATTTTGGCAAAGTCATTAAGGAATTCGCAGAAGTTTATTAGGAAAACAAAAGCATACATGAAGTTGGCTTTGACAATTGCCTACAGAAATTCATTACTCAGAATAGGAAATTTGCAGGTTTCCCACCATTTTGAATAATGTATTAATAAAACATTTACTAAAATAAAGTATTTGTTCACTTATTTTTCTAGACACAATCATAATTAATGTCAATACCAATTATTGATAAATATATTTTTTAAAGGAAGTGTGCTTACACACATTTTGTGTGTCTCTTCCATTTGAATGTTAAATATATCTCTTTTCAGGCCAGAACATGATCATGGACTTCTTTTCTTTTTTTTCGGTACTCACTTTTTTACTGAAACATACTTTGGCATTTATGCTCTGCTCCAAAGGCTCTGGTTAACTATCTTCAAAGCATGATGTGGAGATATTTTATTGTGTATCCGTTTTCTTTGATTTCTGTGTTCTGTATTTGATTTGTTATCTGTACTCTAAGTCCAATTTTATTTTTTTATATAAATCTTCAAAGGCATGATATGGAACCATTTTATCATTTAAACTACTTCCTCTATAATAGTCTTCAAAAATTCCTGTATGAAATGAGTTTGACCCAGGGGCATGGGTGAACACCCCTCCTAGCCACGTGATGGCCACTGGGGGGACCTGGCTGGGTTGGACTCATGCTTGCGGTCTCAGCCCTGGTTATCACTGCCAGGCACTGGGTGAATCCTGGGCTTGTCTAGCCCTGAGAGATTTATCCCTCCACAGTAATTACACAGTGAAGGGATCTCAGACGGTTCTGAGCAGGAGTGGGTACCTGGTCCCACACAGCACTGCCATCTGTTGGGAGGAGCCCAACTGAGTTCAACCCAAGGGCACGGGTGCATGCCCCTCCTAGCCACGTGGTGGCCGCTGGGGGGGCCCAAGCCAGGTCAGGCTCAATGCCCGGGCTCCTCTTCCTGTCACAGCTGCCAGGCTGTGGACAAAAGCTTGGCTGTCTAGGCCCAAGAGTTTCTCCCTCCACAGTTACTACACTGTGAGAGGATCTCGGGCAGCTCTGAGCAGGAGCATGTCCCTGGTTTTACCCCACTGCCATCTTGGTGGAAGGAATCCAGGTGAGTCTGATCCAAGGGCATAGGTGCACATAACTCTTAGCTGTTCGGTGGCCCTTAGGGGGACCCAGGCCAAGCCTATGGGTCATCTGGCAAGGCACTTTGGGATCTTGGGTGTCTGAGAGGTGGTACATGTGGCATTATCAAGGACCTTAGTGTCAGGTTCAGGTGAGAAATGACTTCTCAGGAACTTCCACGGAGAACGCCACTCTATTTGAAGGGCTACAATATAGATTCCACCAGAACATGTCAAAAAAAGGGAACAGATTCTGTGAAGCTGAGCCATGAAGTAGATAAACACATGAGTGAATCATGTGTGGGGGGTAAAATCTGCAGGGGAATATGTGAGCTCACCCCTGTGGAACAGCAATCTCTGTTGGCACATGCAAGGACTATGGCTGGGAATAGGCCTGTTGGAGAACTGAGGTGATGCCCTGGCTGGGCTGGAATACCCATCAGTAAATGCTTGTGACAAAATTGGTGCATTATTTTAGGCTGAACATGGTTGCAAGCTCCCTTGGCATGGGTGGGGCTTGGGTCTAGGGAGGGCTGAGCTGGGTTAGACTCCAGCAGCCACTGGTACTTGTGAGAGTTGTGGATGTAGAACGGACTGGGCAAGGTCATGGCTCACTTTGACCCATATAAGATCTGTGTCTGGGTGTAGACCAGGTATGGATGGGCTGCAAACACCCAACAATATGAACCAGAAATGGTATGGGCTCATTAGGCAAGGGCATCGTTCCTGCCAGAACAACAGGTAGAAAAAGTAAACTTGGGTCAGGGACCCATCAGTATGAGCAAGATTTGCCATGGGCAGGAGACTGGATAGAAGAGTTTGGTGAACTGCTTTGTCAGGTTGCAGTTCCTGCAGATATGCACAAGAGCCAAGGCAATGGTCAGCCCAAAGCAGTCCAGGTTACAGTAACCACTGGCATACATGTGGATCAGACCAGGGGGTGGGCCAGGCCGGGCCAGTTCATAACATGCACTGGAAGATCCAAAAACCAGGATGGGGTGCAGGACTGGATCAATCAGGCTCCATCACCAGCCAGTTCACACTTGAGCTTGGACTAGGGGCAGCCAAGGAAATGCTAGGCTACAGCACCAACCAGCACAAGCTGAAACTTGGGATAGGTTACATCAAAGCAGGCTGTGGTACCCGTTGGTGGATGCCAAGGAAGATAAGCTATGTCATTCTGGAGGTGGTGTGTGACAGATTCATAAGCTCTGGGGTGTGGGGTGTGGGGTCCGGTGGGTCCCAGATCATTTAGCTGGGACCTTAATTTGCCTGTGTGGTGAGTGTTGGATCCATGAGCACCAGGAGTGGGGGGACAAAAAGGCTCTGAGTCTCCTTGCCCAGACCACCGAGTTCACCCATGTGGTGTCGGCTGGATCTATGAGCCCTGGGGGTGAGGGGATCCCGTGGGTCCTGGGTCCCTTGGCGCAGGGCCTTGGGTCTGCCTGCTCAGTAGGTGCTGAACCTGTGAGCCTCAGGGATAGGAGACCAGATTTGCCCTGTGTCTCCTGGTCCAGGTCCTAGGTCACACCTATGTAGTGAATGGCGGATCACGAGTCCCTGGGCTGGAGCTTCCTGTGAAACCTGGGTATCCTGGCCTACGTTATTGGGCCTGCCTATGTGGTGGGTGCTGAATTCATGAGGACCAATGGTAGGGGGCTCAGTGAAACTTGGTTCTCCTGGTACAGGTAATTGTGCCACCAATGTTGTAGGGACCAGGTCTGTAAGTCCCAGGTGTCTGGGTTTCAGCAGGTTCTGGTTTGTATGGCCTGGGGCCTTGGGACTGCCTGGGTGGTAGGTGCTGAACACTTGAGCTTCAGGGTTGGGGGTTCTAGCTTGGCCTTCGTTTTTCTGGCCCAGGTCCAAATTCCACTTAAGTATTGGTTATCGTTTCCATGAGCCCCTTGGGGTGGGGGATCCAGCAGGTCTGGGTCTACTGGCCCAGGTCCTTGAGCCTATCTGCATGGTGAATTCTGGATCCGTGATCCCCAGGAGTAGGGGATCCTTCATAACCCAGGTCACCTGACTCAGGTCCATGAGCCCACCTAGGAGAACTGGTCCTCCACATTGCAGAGGATGTTGTGCTGGAGAGTATACCATGGTGTACATGGAAGACATGGTAACTCACTGGGGCCTGCAGAGACATCAGGTACCATAGCAGAGAATGGAGAACAGAATATATGGACAACTACCCCAAGCAAATGATGACAGCAAATATCCATGCGATTGGAGACTATTGTATCAGTCAAAGGACATTGGAAGGGATTCCTCATCCATAGATCAATGATATCAACAGCATTTCACATCTATTACATCCCCTTTTGCAGAACGTTCGCAACATGCACCATTGTGACCCTGGATTGATATTGGGTGAACTTTCCACATCCTTGGGTATTGCGATGGTAGGGAGGCTGGGTATGGCCTATCCCCTTATCTCTCTCTCTCCTTCCCCAAGAAATGGGAGGAAGAAACCGAAAGTTTGGAAGCAATGATCACACCCACTTCTTCTTAGATCCTTCAAACACTGATCGACTGTGTAAACATCATCTAAAATAAACATTACAAAATTCTGTACACATTATTTATTCATTTTCACAACCACAATGTTCTCCCTGTGATTGGAGACTACATAAAAAAAAATCACCTTCTGATGTCCATATCCCTAGTATCCCAGATTTTAAACAACTGGAATTATTGGATTTGAAAAGGTTGTGCTAAGAAATTTGGGATCTTCCAATACAAAGAAGGAAACCTTTAGCATTATATTCCCAAGGTACTGGTCTAAATTTATTGGATGCAGGTTATAAAAATGGAACATGTCTCTTCCTATTTCATGTCTGGTTTTGGTTTTCTTTTGTAAAGTGTAAAAGTATTCAACTTGATCACAGCTTGTTCAAGTCCATGATAACTCTGGAAATGGACATGAAGATGTCAGGCTTTTCACTCCTTAAACCAGCGGGTGTATGTGAATGTGTTACGGTTTCAGTGTTGCCAGTTGAGGATTTTTGCAATTTGGGTTGTGCTTTTAATCAAAAAGAAAGACAAAACAAAAAAGTAAAAACCTTGAATGACTCAGGATGGCACAAGACTCACTAAATGGGAAGGCCCATTTTGCCAAGCTGTGGTTCACAGTGGTTGATACAAAAGGAATGATCTTTCCTCTCATGATTATCAGACTTAGATGTTATGGAGTTCTAATCCCTCTTTCTCTTCTCTCCTTTAGCGACAATAGTATGATATATAAGAAGGCAACTTTTTATGAAAAGGAAAGTAATGATTGCCACACAGGCCAGCAGGAACCCAATCACATCCAGAGAGTGGTATTGGTACCAGGTGAGGTCGTAGGCTGCAACCCGAAGGTGTTTGGCTCCTTTGTGACGCATGACATGCTCGATCCAGAAGACAGCTCGATCCAGGGGCTTCATGGGCTGATCGTGGTGAATTCTTGATAATGTCATGACATTCTCTTTGTATCTAAAGGAAAATCAATAGATATCAAATTGTAGTATAAACTACAATATATAAACCCATGAATTTTTCATGTAGATTTGAAAGAGGAATGTAACCTATGCTAGAAGAAAAATCATTTTCTGCAGTACAAAATTTAGAGATTGTAGTTTATGAGCTTGAATTTGTTGTGTATTTAAAATTTCAAGGTGTAAAAGGGAAATTGAAAAAAAAATAGTATGTTTGACATTTCAGTCTAGACACTGGATTCAGTTAAGTCCCATGGACATGGGAAAACAAAGCAACTCATAAGATGTGAAACTTTCATTACTCAATAGTCAATTGTGACTGCAACTATACAAAATGATAAAAATAATTGAAATATAGAGAAAAAAGAAGCAGGTCTGTGACAGGCCTCATGTACATTGCTACACAATGTTGGTAAGGAGTTGGTATCAAATACAAATTGGATCTGAGATTGAATCTTAAAGATTGTCCAATAATTAATGACTAAAACCATGAAGCTATAAACTGAATGGCCTTTCTTTTAAATTTCATATTGATTGAATTTTTCATTTTTATACGTGTCTCTGATTTTAAGCTTAGCACAGTAGCCTAGTAGTTAAAATCCTTGTTTTGCAGGTGCCTGGATCCCATATACACACTGGTTTGTGTCCCTGCTACTCCATGTCCCTTCCAGCTCCTTGCTCATACTCTGGAAAAGCAGTTGAGGATGGCCCAAAGACTAGGGAACCTGCATCTGCACCAGAGTGGGAGACCTTGAGGAAGCTCTTAGCTCCTGGCTTCAAATCACCTGAGCTCTAACCATTGCAGCTACCCGGATAAGATCTATCTCTCTGTCTCCCCTGTATCTTTCTCTCTGTCTCTCTTCTGTCTCTCTATAAAAGGATCTTTCTCTCTGTCTCTCCTCTATCTCTAAATCTACCTTTCCAATACAAATAAATAAATCTAAAAAAAGTAAAAAATATTCTCTGATTCTAATTTTTAGTGCTAAATGGAAAGGATGAAAGTAGTGTCTTTCTTAGGTGATTGTTGGAAGAAATAATGAACTGATTCTTAAAATAGTTTGAATTAATTTTGTATAGCAGAACAATAGTATTATTGTTGATGTTTACCTGGCTAGTGTTGTGATTTTAAAACATTGAACATGTTCAGCTCATAGAAGCAGCCATTGTTAACTTTCTCTAATTGATGAAGGTTCATGTTTAGGGCAGAAGGCTTCCAATAGTGTGTGGCTTACAAAATGTGAAACACAGAGTGCTATTGTGTGGCATGGTAGCACTCAAAAATGAGCTAACGTTCACTTTCAATACTTTAAAAATGCATTGGATAGACTGTATTTCAAAGCACATTAAACTTGCTATGTTTTGAACATATAATGTCTAAAGGCTATAATGAAGAATTGTACAATATATAAAATACTGGCATAAATGTATTGTGTAATACATATTAGATTTTTTCCAGTTAAGAAATTCACTTTGTTATTTATGATATATATTATATGTGTTTAGATTTATGTATGTTTATTTTCTTTGCTAAAAATTTAAAAACATGGAATGATATCTATACTATGAGTGGGGATTTGTATCTTCATAAAAAAAAGCGTGCTTCTCGCTTCTCTAGGTGTTCATTAAGGAAGAACACAGTTAGGCCACCAAGTGCAGTGGTTCAGTGGCTAACTGCTTTCTTTCCAAGCACCAGAATCCACGTGAAGACTGTTTTGTGTTCCTGCTGCACCCCTTCGCCTCCAGCTCCCTGCTTGTGCTTTGGGAAAGCAATAGAGGATGACTCAAAGCCTTGGGACCCATCATCCACATAGGAGTCCTGGAAAATTTCCCTGGCTACTGGTTCCTGGTTTCTGGCTTCAATTCTGGCCATTGTGGCCACTTGGGATGTGAACCAGCAGATGGAAGATCTTTTTCTTTGTCTCTCTGTCTCTATAAATCGGCCTTTCTAATCAAAATAAATCCATCATTAAAAAATTTAAAAGGGAAGAATGTAATTATAATTTTGGAGCAAAGTATCTCATTTAAACATACTTTTCACCAAAGAACTAAGAAAAAAATATTTTTGAATGCCCTGAGTGCTGTAATTTTAGCATACACTTAAGTAGCAGAATGATGAATTAGGTGTCCTTGTTCAGGATGATATTAGTGTAATAATATGGGTGGAATCAGTGGAATGAAGGGAATTTAGGGACAGAGGAAGGGAAATCCTAAAACCTATGGAACTGAATCATAAAATAATAAAACATCATTGTTATTGAAGAGGAATACTACAACATGCATTAAAAGGCGTTGTGAGTTGTTAATGACCTCCCTGTAGCATTAGGCAAATCTATTCTCAATATACCATTCCTGTTCTGCCTCAGTGTTGGCCCTGGCCCACCCATTCGAAACTTGTCTACAGATACCATGAAATTTAAGGAAACGGTAATACTCACGAAGGGTCATTGATGACTGTCTTCAATGCACTGAGCAAATCTGCACTTGACATGGTTTTGAAGTCCAACATAACAGCTGCTCCTTTGGTCTGCATGTATATGATATTGTCAGGTTGATCACCAAACAAAGGAATGCCCACCATCGGGATGCCATGATAGATTGCCTCGAAGACACCATTGGCTCCACCATGAGTTATAAAAGCCTTTGTTTTTGGATGACCTAGGATTGAGTGAATTTTCAATGAAAATATCAGTTGTAAATTTTGAAAAATAACTTGAGAATTGCTTCTTGGTCTTTTGGCTGAGATCAAGTGTAGTGTCTGTTCTTATCACTTTACAATAACATGAGAAATGTAATATGAGAAACTAAAAAGGCAATGCTTTCTAAGGAGATTACTGATAGACATGAACCTGCATTCACATTTCTTTCATATCATCAGGAAGAAGCAGCTACTATTTCCACCCAGGCGATACATTAAGGCAACTGTAAGAAGATTTGTGACTTTAGCTTTGGAATATACCCAATATTGAAAATTGGAATAGATAGGATAATTTTATGGATAAAGGACACTGTATATGACACTTAAAAGATGAAGAGCTTGTTAAATGATCTTTCTCTTAAAGAAATATGTGTTCACTGCTTGTGATTTATATGATGTACAAGATTGCAGGGCATGGCATGCTTGTGCCAAAATGAGAGGAAAACAAATCCATACTCCTGGAACTAGTATTTCCTCATAAAGTTTGTCACTTATTCCCACAGAAAATAGTAATTCATAATACCAGAAAGATATGACAACTTGATGACAATTGGACATGCCTATGTTAATGGAGAGACAGATGAGTGATAAAAAGATTGGATTAGTAGTCTATAACACCGATGGCATGTTATTCTTATGTAATTAATGCATTTGAAAGAAATTCATGATCACTGAATAAACACGCACAAACACAAGGCATCAACAAACTGAAAGAAATAGAGAAAGAGATCTTTAAAACATGATTAGTTCATGTAAAGCATCCTCATCACCTGGAACTGGGCCAGTAAAGCCAGGAGCAGGGTTCCTAATCCATGATCTACCACATGGCTACCAATGACCCAAGGACTTTAGCTGCTGGCTGCTGCTTACTTGTTCCAGTGTGAGGTAGCAGGAGGTGGGAGTCGGAGATGGAGTCCAGGAGCTCCAGGAGACGATGGATATGTGTCAAGCAGCAACCTACCTCTTCTGTCCAATACTTTCCACAAAGGAAGCTATAGACACATTTTCTTTGAGAGATAAATACACTTAAAATATTGGCAGTTTTTTTCTGGATTTAAAACAGTTTGTAATCATAAAATGCCAACTGCTAAAATAAATGTATTTCTCCTAAGACTGAAAAAGGAATATGAAGACATTCGGTTTAACCTGGGGTTTTTAGTAATAAGTGGTCATGTCCCTCTCATCCTGATTGGCTGTCACTGATGTTTTCAGTGTTTGCTCTCCAGTGTCTTACCAAGTATGTCATTCTGGGGGATCCACTTATAGAGGCGAGTGTTGGGTCCTAAGGTGTCTGGTTTCTTGCCTTCAAATCTCCAAAGAACCTGTTGGGTAAAGAAAGTACGGTTTCTTTGAATTTAAATTTTGGCATGTTTAGATTCTACAGAAGCTGAGAGACCCCAGTTATGTGCCTGAAATAAAAATGGCAAAATGTATTCAAGTATTCAAGGTGTTTTGATAAAAAAAAAGATTTACTTATTTGTATTAGGTAAATTTCTAGAGAGAAGCCAATACAAAGAGAAAGATCTTCTATCTGCTGCTTCACTCCTCAAGTGGTCTCAATGGCTAGAGCTGAGCTGATCCAAGGCTGGAAGCCAGGAGATTCTTCCTCGTCTCCCATGGTACAGAATCTCAAGACTTTGGGCCATCATCTTCTGCTTTCCCTAGCTCCAAGTAGGGAGCTGGATGGAAAGTGGAGCAGCCGGGATATGAGCTGGTGTTCATATGGGATCCTGGCATGTGCAAGGCAAGGATTTATTACATAGCCATTGTGCTGGTCTTGGTTTTAGATATAAGAAGAATTCATTAACAGTGATTCGGATTATGTGATTATGTGTGTGTGTGTGTGTGTGTTTAATGTGATTCTTCTTGGAAATTTACTAACAGTTTTTTGTTTTTAAAAAGGGAACAAAAATTACTACTTCCAATATTCCAGAAATTGCTTCACTAGAGTTTGATATAATTTAATTTGCAAAGAATGAATCTTTGCAATTTGCTACAGATGAGATGCAGAATGATAGAACTGTATGAAATAAGAACTACATTTAACTTGAAGTGTATTTTTAAAATGAACCAAAAATATCACTAATGCTGTAATTGTGGTGGATGAGAAAAATCCATAGTTGTGATAATACTAAATTTTATTCAACTATTAACTTTCTTATTATGTGTTGTAAGTATATATAGCCGATAATGCTACCTGGAATTTTTCCATGCCCATTATCAAAATAAGACATTGATGTTAAATTTCCTGAGCTAACCTAATAGACTAGCATGTTATCTACAAGTGCTTAATATGTATTTCATTATGAGAAATTTAAAAGTAATCATGGATTCTTTGGAAAAATAATAATGTAGGTTGTTGTTACCAGGTTGTATGAGCTGGCAAACTAAGAAGCAATATATATATATTTGATATATATATATATATCAAAGTTGTCCACATTATAAAATTAGATCTTCCTATTATTTTTAAAAGGACTGAACTTCTGTACATGCCTGGCCAGCTACTATTACACTCTTTTTTAAAATGCTACTCTTTCCTCAACAGAGATGAGGTGCCATTCTTACAATTTAGTATCACAGTCCTGTGAAATCACACTTTTAATAAACTCCAGCATGGTCATCAATGGGAGATCCAAAGAAGTCTTTCCCATTCTTTCTGAATGTAGCACATTCAATAACCCCTTAATGTTATCATGCTAGTGAAGTTCATCAGGAAAATCTGACCCCATTCTAAAGCGGCTTTAGTGTGTACAGTGTCCTCAATAATCCTGCAGTGAAAAAACATGTAGTTGTAGAATTTTGCAATTTCTTTTCACCTATCTGCAATATTGTGATGATTGCAAAGTTTGTCAAGGCAACATTATGGACATTTCTGATCACAATATTAAGGTTGAAATTATTTAAAATGAAGCATCCTCTATGCTATTTTTGCATCTGAATTGCAGGGTTTAACTGCTATCTGAGATAAATTAGTGCTGTCATAAGTATCTACCTTTCATTGCTTTCATGACTCACTTTGTGGGGCTTAACAGACTCTTTTACTAGTCTTCACCACTGGGACGCACTTTCTCACCTTCTGTGGAAGCTGGGCAAGGGCTGATGCGATCACATTGGCCCTGTCTTCTGTCATGTTACTGAACATTGAACCCAAAGAAAACACCACAACTCCCTCTTCTCCAGAGCTCTGCACAAAGTCCTCCATGTCCTGTGAAGAGAGAATTCGGTCTGTCTTGAGGTAGTTTCCCTTCGAATTTATATTCCCTTCCTAATTTATAATCCTTCATTTTAAAGAAAGCCTGTGATTTTTATCTACCTTCCTTGTCCTCCTGTTTCCAACATAATCTCCTGTTAGTTGATGCAATTACTACTAACATTTTTTGTTTAAAGCGATTATAATGATGTGATACATACATTTTTGCCCATAGTTGCTTATATATATTTTTAAATTATTTTTTAGTATTTGATTTAGGTTATTTACAATGTAGTTTTACAAATAAGTGTTATAAACACATTGATTTTGTACTTATTAGTTATTTTAATCTCCATTACTTTGTTTATTTTATAAGACGAGGAGTATACAATTAGTTTTCAATGCAATTTGTCACATTTTTATGACAAAAGTATAGATTATCTGAGTTTATTATAATTAATGGAAAAGTGAGTAAGTAGTGGCAGTTAAAATTTTAATTTTTTATAATTACTTGGGTCTCACTCATATCTGTATACATGCACATATAAATTTTCAAGTTAGACATAATTCTACTATCAACCTTGTAACATAATCCATTTTCTTTTTCTTTTCAAAAATTTTTTTCTGATATATATACATATATTACTTAATTCTACATAAGCATTATCAGTTTCTATGTCAGACCTTATCAACTCTAAGTACGTGTATATCAACATTTCCCATCTCCTGCATCCCATTAGTCTCCCTCCTTTTGTTAACTCACATTCTACTGTCAACTCCATTTATACCAATTTTGTTAGGTTTTATGTATGAAAGAGTTGATGAATTGCATTTTCATCTGCTTAGTAGTGGATGGTTATGTAGGCACATCCCACTACTTGATTATTGTCAATAGTGCTACAGCAAACCGGGAATGCAGATGTCTGTGACAAATGGGCCTCATTTCTCTGAATATCGGAATCATTGAAAATGTTTCATCTTTTATAAACTGCCTTTTTTTTTTCTGCGCCAGACCAAGACTTATTTATTTTTAAAAAGGCACATATACAGAGAGGACGAGAGACGGACAGGAAGATCCTCTGTCCAATGGTTCACTCCCCAAGTGGCCACAATGCCTGGAGCTGAGCCAATACAAAGCCAGGAGCCAGGAGCTCTTCCAGGTCTTCCACATGGGCTCAGGGTCCCAAAGCTTTGGGCTGTCTTGGACTGCTTTCCCAGGCAACAAGTAGGGAGCTGATAGGAAGCAGGGCTGCCAGGATTAGAACTGGTGCCCAAATAGGATCCTGGCATGTTCCAAGCGAGAACTTTAACTGCTACACTCCTGCATCGGGCCCTTCAATTATTGCTTTCCTATACCACCCAGTGTGAGGTTAGTATCACAGCTACCAGTCCAGTGTGTAGTGGTCTCTATGATTCTGAATTCTATTTCTCCACTATCTGTGCCTGAACTGTCCCAACTCTGTCACGTCTCAACCTTCCCATAGCTGTACTTCTCTAAGATCTTATCTGATCATGTTTTCAACTTCCTTTCCATTATATATGAGAAAATTAAAAATCTGATCCTTTTGTATTTTCTCTGGTATCTTTAAAGTTCTCATGAATATTTTAAATTAATTCATTTTATACCTAGTAAGTTGACTCTCTAGTGAAATCAGCATCTTCATTGAACTAATTCTAAAATAGTAGTCCCCGGGAGCTCTATTCAACACTCTGCACTTTGTTTTTTTCCCTAAATTTATTCCCTAAATCTCTCTTTCCTAAATCTATTCCTACATATATTTCATATTTGCATGTTAGCCATGTATACTCTTTATGACTCCTACTAGATATTCTCCTGGATTTGTCCTAATTTCCAGTCTAAATAAGCAGTAGGCCTGTGTCACCTACTGCTTCATCAGCATCCCCTCTCTGGCAGGCATCTTCACGGCTCAACCTCTATCTGCATTCTGGTCAGGTGGGTTAAGCCAGCCAGTGCCTCTACCAAGCTCCCTGCTTGTGACCTGATGGCAGTAGAGGATGGCCCCGGGCCTTGGGACCCTGCACCCCTGTGGGAGACCCTGAGGTGCTTCTGGCTCCTGGCTTCAGATTGGCTCGTCTCCAGCAGTTGCGGCCACTTGTTGTGGTGGTGGGGGGTGGGGACCATCGGATGGAAGATCTTCCTCTCTGTCTATCTGCCTTTCCAATAGAAATGAATAAATCTTTAAAAAAAATGTAGATTTATTCATTTCTATTGGAAATTGTTTCTCATGGTCTGTCCTAATAGGAGACCAAAACTTTGTAAAGAATTAAAAACAAAAACAAAAACAAAAAAACCTGTCTACCTTGTTTCTGTAGGTGTCCAATACATCTTCTGTTTTATTCTATTACATTCAATATATAATGGAAAGAATGGCTGGTTTGTTCTTGTACGTTGGATAATGAAGACCTTAATTTAATGGACTCCAGTCTAAAAGTATTCAAGCTATTATGTATTATTTTTGTAACAAAAAATAAAACCTGGATAATTTAAATGGCTTTGAAGCATGCAAGAACATTTTAAATTAGCTTTTTATCCACATTTCTCTGAAGTTTAAAATGCTCTCACTTGAGTTTCCTTGAGAAAGGACCTCTTTCTCAACTCTGAATACCTCTGTCTCTGAGTTAAATGCTACAAGTGAAGAATGCAAAGTCATTTACTTGGTAAATGCATAGGAAACCAAATATAGTGCACAGAAATATATAACCTTAGGCAGAGGTTTGGCAGGCTTGCAGTGGAGCCCTCCGACAAACTGGAAGTTTGGTAAGAGTGGGCGGGGAAACTCCAAATCCCAATAGCTTCGAATGAGCCACATGTCAGCTTTCCCCACTAACTCCAAGAATGTAGCAGGTCTTCCTGGATGGAGAGGACAGAAAGAAGAGGGAGAGTAATGAGAGAAGTGGGGCATGAAACAGTGCATGTAATCTGAAAGATGTGGGAGTGATGCAGTGATGTGTGGAGCGTCTGGGCTGCACAACAGACACTCTATATAGGCCTACTCTAATGGTCATGCAAAATGTATATATTCACATTCTGTATGCTAGGGCAGACAAATACAGAATTTTAAAACAGAATATTCATAATTGTAACTAATCCTCAAATCTGACCACTTGTGTCAGCAAACATGTGAACAGAATAAAAAAAGGAGAGTAGTAGGTCTAGATTGCTCAAAGGAATCCTCAGTATTTCTACTTGTATTTGCATGATCTTGTGGAACACCTAACGTAGTTACAGCCTAACAGTTTCAACTGGTCCTGTAATATATATCATAGCATTACAGCCCTGGTCTTTTTACCAGAAAGAAACTTCTATGATTTCATATCAATAGGCACTCAGTTAAGAATTCAAAATGTTAGGACCAATGAAAAAGATGACTTACCTAAGACTTCACTGTAAAAACGATCCCACCTCTTCTCATTAAACTTTGGAAACCAGAAGTCAAAGTAAAGCACACATAGCATATTTATTACTCTGTCTGTGAATGTCATTCGTCCACTTAAACGGGACATCATAACAGGTACATAGGATGGAGGTAATAGAAGCCCTCCACCATGCTTTTGCAGTATGTAGCCAGGAAAGCCACGAAGGCTGTACACAAGGGGGATTTTGAGTAACTCAGCAAGCAGATCACTACCGGGGCTTACGGGATCTGCAATAACAACATCAAACTTTGCTTTTCGTAGCTTTGTCATGAGTTTTTTGTTCAAGACTACTTCCCTGCAAATATTTTCAGAAATATCAGAATATCTTAGAACAAAGTCGCTCACTTCTGGTAAATGTTCCCAATATATATCCAGCGGGACATTATACATAACATTATGAAACCAATGCATGAAAAAACTCTCTAATTCATCTTTAGTGTAAGATGTAGGGAAAGTTTCAAATTTAATTCCGGATTCATTCTTGGCATTGATTACAACAGAAGCTGAAGATCTCAGAACAGTTACTTCATGACCTCGTTGAATAAGTTCATCAAGGATGTTCTTCAGATTCATCCAGTGGCTGAATTCCATCGGCCAAACCAGCACCTTTCCACAACTCCCAGAGCTGAAGTAGCAGCTCAGCTGTAGCAGCAGCAGCAGCAAAGAAAGACACTTCACAGACATCCTGGTGACACACGAAGCTTCCTCTCTGATTGCAGCTCCTTTGTCAACTCTTCATGGTTATATTCAGGAAGAAATCTTTTATGTAGTTAAAATATAACTTGTATTGATCAAAGTAAATATATCCTATGAAGAATCAGACTGTTGGCCGGGATGGCAGATGGGAAAAGTAATGTCTGATGATTTCTATATTTTTTATCTGTGTGTTTAGAGTTTTCCCCACATCTTTAAAATCTATTCAATTGAAAGGAAGTTTAACAGAGAGAGAGAGAGTGAGAAGGTGAAATAGAGGGGAAAAAGCATGTTGCATGCACTGGTTTACTCCTTTAAGTGTTAGAACTGCCTTTACAAATCTAAGCTAAAACCAGGAGCACAAAACTCCTGTTGGGTTTCCCATTTGGGTGGCAACAGCCCCAACTCCTTGCTCCATTTTGTTATGCATTCCTTTGTGTGTAAGCCAATCAGTTCCATCAGATGGCATAGGTGTGATGAGCACTGTTGCTCGGTGAGCAAAGGCTACAAGGAGTTTCTGACTGTGTGGCAAGGCCTGGCAGAATGTCTCTGGTCACCTCATTGCTACCTCACCCCATTGTATGGACACTCAATCACCTCTCTAATGTGTCATAGAATTCTCCAGAGGTTGGTGGTGTTGTTTTTATGTAAATGTGAAATGATCCCTGTAACTGCTATACCACCTCAAACTGGTCAAGCATGTTATGATAAAAACATCTTTAGCGACATAAGGCAATGACACACAGCTAAAGCAAATAATAGTACAATTGAGCCCACAATGTCTCCAAACATCCTATTATATGCCCCACTTTGTCCTAAAGTTTGCCCTAATATAAGTAATGTTTTCCTTAAGAAATACCTTGATCATATCTTGAAACAGATGGCAATCATGGAGGTACAAACAGTTTGTTTACCATGCACCTTGAAATGTTACAACACAAGAAATGACGCATTTTGGTTTCTCTCCACAAAAAGCAGAAAGTTTATGGGGCATCTTCTATCGGGAGACAAATGTGAACCCCCTCAAAAAATGCTTAAAATTTCTACCTTATATTGACAGTTATGTTTCGGGAAAGAAAACAGTTTACTAAAACTTCTACCTTATATTGGCACTCATATTTAGAGAAAGAAAACAGTTTATAAAGATAAGAAAAAGTTTCTTGTAAAGGCACTTTGTCTGTGAATGTGCTGAGTTGCCCTGATCCCTTTCACTTTCCTTTAACAAAAGAATGAAAAACAATTAAATCAGCACTAAGAACAAAGAACGTTTGAATCAGCACTAGGTGAATGTGGTAGTAATTAATGCATGATTGATTATAAGATTTAATAATTTATGTAATATGTTTTTATAAATTTCTTTCATTTATGAGCTTTTCTTTGAATTCTGTACTCTTGATATTTAAGTAATATTAGATAGTTTATGTTTAGTGAAAGTTGTTTTTGGATATAAGTAAACCACTTGCCACTATGTAACCACATGTGTTGCCAAACACGGAGTTCCAGGCTTCAGCCAGGTCACTGCAGGTTTGAATGAGTAATAGCTTGCTGAAAATATTTTCCCTGAACTAAAATAATAATAATATTTTTTTAGGACTGATGTCATAATCATTATTTTATAAATGAAAAAATTGGATGTTGTGCAAAAGCTTGCAATGATTTGTGTATAGACAAAGAAGGCAACTTATCTGAGTTTTCCATTATGAGCATCATGTCATAGTGGTCCACATCTCTGCTTCTTATCATCTCACTGATCCATGCACCCTTTGCAAGCTCTCAGTCAGCTGGAGCCGGTCTCCAGTACCTGGGCATCTTGGAGAGAGCAGGGTAGGAAATAAGCCGATTTAGACTTGTACTAGTACTCTGAAATGGGATGTCAGTGCCCAGCAGTACAATCCTCTAAAATCTGTTTTGTGATAAATATCCACTTCTGGCAAATTCTATGACCTGTTTGGGTTTGGCAGTTTGTTTATGTAAGACCTTTTAGAATAGTGCCAAGAGCAGTGGTGATAGGTGACTTGTGTCTGCAGTTGCTGTGACACAGATACAATTATTATTTCTTACCCTGCTTCAGAGCATTTTTCTTGGTTCATACATTGATAATTCATATACATCCAGTATGTCATATCAAAGTATGTGGTTCAGCATTCCATATTGTTCTCATATAACTGTGTAATCAAAAATCATTGTCAATTTTTTTAGCATTTATTTACAGCAAAAAAAGGCCAGCCACCTTAAATGTTTGTGTCCCACACTCTAATTGCAGATTCCTACATTCCTAAGCAAGTATTCATCCGCTTTCCTCTTTGGATCCTCTCATCATGGAGTCCCCGTCTTAGGGTGAGGTGAGCAGTGGTTATTGGAGAGTTGGAATCTTCAGAGTGTCAGGCTTGAACAGAATGTTATGTTAGGAGTAAAAGTGAAGACCCCTCTTGGTCATATCGTGTGGAAGTACGTGTGAGGGATTAAGTGCATGTGTTTTTAAGACAATAGGTATGCTGTTGTTCTCAGTCTAAAGAGAAGTACACAGGGTTAGGAAGACGGAAGGGGGAACAAGTTAGGGATTAAATGCCATAAGTTCTCACTGTTTTACAATTGTTGAATTTCCCCACCTCTCTTTCTTTCTTTCTTTCTCACCATGCTCTTTCTCCTGTATGTTCCTTGTGAAAATTCTGATAGCCGTTAGTAAATTGTGTTTTTATTTCTGTTTCACCTGGGTGTTAATCTGTGGTGATTTACACACTGCTGTGTGAGAAGAGATTAATTCAAGGTTTTGTGGCCAACATTCTGTGTTCATTAAATTTATGTGAATTTGGATTTTTACAAGTATTGAAACTTTTAATGCTTTAATTTCAGTAAATCATTCACAAATGTTTAAATATTAAACAGGTAACTTAAATACAGGGACTATCTGGATATGGGTTGAATTCCTGATAAGTTGAAATTGTAAAGCCTAAGCAATTAAGAATTTAATATAGTATATAAATCTGCACTTTTAAATTAGTATGGCTATTTTGCCAATTATTATTTTGAGTCACTAAACACAGTTTTAAATTATTCTTGTTTAATTTTATATGCTACAGAATGCTGATGGGTTATTAAGATAAAGCAAGGATAATTGTCTTTCAATAAGATTGCTATAGGTTTTGAAAGCGATGTGTAAATCATAAACATAGATTGGATTAGCTGGACAAGTGTACAGTATCTGCTTCCTGCTTATAATTACTTTAGGTTACACTGGTTAAAGTTTGTCATTGATATAAACGGCTGTGGCTATACAAGGACAATTTTTACTGAAAATATAAATTAGCATGCACAAAGAATTGGAATGCCTTTTTTTCTTCATCAAAGAAATTGTTGCCATTTATCAATTCTTTCATTTTATATGGCAGTGATAATCACCATTAAAACTAATATGATCTTTAATTTAACAATGATAGAACTCCCATAATTTCTATGTATAGCATTCATCAAAACCAAAGACAAATGTAAGGAACATCGCAGTAATTTAACAACAGAAGATTAAATCAGACAAAGAGCAACTCATTGCTAAAATGACAGGACCAAATTACAACCCATTCATATTATCCATGTCTGTAAATGCCTTAAGTATATCAATCAAACATCATGGATTATTAAAAAAACAAAAAACAAAATCTATGTATCTATTGCCTGCAGGAAATATGTCTCTGTGAAAAAGATCAGCGAAACTATATCTCATAGATTTTGATGTTTTTGTTTTTATTTTCATTTCTTCAAAGCAGTTGTTTTTCTTATATTAAATTGACCAATGACACATAAATTACACAGTAGCATCATTCTCTTCAAGCAGGTTCTTGATTTCTTCAGTGAAACATTACTCATTCAGTACTATGTTATTTGACTTCATGGCATTCTAATTTTTAACTTCTCTTCTTGGTAATTTTTTGTTTTGTGGCTTTTCATTTGAGGGATATTTAGTAACTCTGTAATGGAAACTGTCATATCCAGATGTGAGGATACCATGTAGTTTGCATGTCTACTTCAGATCAAAGATGGATTCACACTGAGACTGTGAAATGTATCTTTACAAGAGGATGTGGGACATTCTGCCATTGTCCTTACCTGTAACAATGGACTTATGACACTTAGTGGAGAACTATACCATTGTCTGAAGATAGCGTAGTCAGTGTAGGGGGAAGGATATTTGGATGGGGTACTGGGAAATCCCAGAGCCTATGGAACTATATCAGATACTACAACTACAACTATAGCAACAAGAAAAACTACTACTAATAATAGTAGAGAAAATACACATGAATTACAATGTGAGCTTCTGATAGATGTGCACAATGTGGAAGGATGAAATCCAGCTTACTAAGTTAGCATACATATCATCTCACCTTTTTCTTGAGCTGTAGTCTTGAAATTCAACAAACTTGAAATATGCATTTTTTAAAACAGAATCACCATGCTATGCATTAAATCTCTAGAAGTTATTTCTTTGGTCCAGCAGAAGCTTCATGCACTTTGATCTTCAAATGCATGCCTTTCTCTGTTTCTATTGGTTTGGCTGCTTCAGATGACAATTCTGGATAAGATTTTGCGGTATTTACCTTTCAAACAGGTTATATTGCAGCTTCAGCCATATTGTCAAAATGGCAGAATTCATTCTGTTTTTAAGGCTGACTAATATTCTACAATATATTTCATTCACTTCTGTCTGTTCACACATGTGTATGTTTATAGGAACACTGGTGAGATGAGTGTGGTGTTTTTATCTGGTGCTTATGGTAGTTTATGACACTGGACAATGGTGTGAGGAAAAGAAACACTTTCATTTGAATAAGGCAGAGATGCTCTGAGCAAATGGAGGGGCATCTAGGAATAGGCTGTGCTGTCCGAGGACATTTGTGTGTTCTCAACCATCATCTCCGAAGAGCAAAAGTAGAGGTTGTACCGTGGCTGCTGAGAAGGCAGGGGAAGTCTTAATGAAGAATTTTCAAACCTTGTTTCTT